TTACAAGGAAAAAACAGGGGGGAGCATTTTCTAATCTAGACCTGAAGGAACAGATTTTCATGGATGGATGGATGACAGATCTGTGGCAGAGCAGGACTCATGGGAATATAGTGTGGAATACACTCTCCAGGATCAAATCCAGTTGCTTTGCTTTATACTAAAAGTTACTGGAGTATTTAGGTATTTACACTCTTTATTATTATGTTTGTATTATTTTATGATTTATAACTACATTATATGATTTCATATTTATTTACAAGGATCATCCTTCTGCTTAAGGTGAATGTAGATCTGTGGTAAGCACATAGATCCAGTGGAATTTCACTGAGCTTAAATCACAGGAGATTACTATGGGGGTATCTGTGATGAAGGAGTGCCCCTCCTTCACCTCTTCACTGTGTAAGTAGCTGAGAGAGCTGTGGATGTGAGACAAATTAGGAACAGAGAAGAAATCAGTTATTATGCTTAGAGAAATAATATCTTAAGAGGGTGATTTTAGACTTCAAAAAACTTAGAAAAGGAAACTAGAAAACAATCTGGGTTTAGTTAATGTAAGGCAAATCTCCCGAATTAATGCACACCACACTTTCCAGTCCATAAGTATTTTCTCTTAGATCAGCTACTTTTGTGTAAGTTTGTACCACAATAATGAGCAGAACATTGTGGCATCTGCTAGTTTGTTTTATACCTTTTAACCTGGATTCCTGTTTCCTCCAGTTCTACTTCAGGAGACTGAAGCAGTAGGATGGGATCCAAGTTAAGCTCTGCATTCCAGGCAGGCTACACCTCCTACATTTGGTTCAGGGCTTTTTCTAATTTAATTATGTTTGCACTTGGATGTAAGTTAAGTCACAGCTCAGCCATTAACTGTGCTCTGCCGTGGCATCCACCCTCTATATTTGACTTCACTAACTGTCTAATGTTTTGTAGTGAGCTTCTGATAAGTATGTGTTTGCAGATTTTCATGACAGACTAATAACACCAAAGGAGGCTCCAGGAACGCTTTAAATAAATATTATGTGTATATTTTCTCAACAGTCTCTGCCTACCAGCACCTTTGGAGCTACATAATCTTATCTAGAGTACGTTTGCATTCTGTTTGCACTAACCAATGTGGTCCATTGCTACTGAGCAAACTGTTATTTGATTAAAACATTATGCACAGCGTAGTTCCAGGACAGACAATCATGTGGTTCTGAAGAGGCAGCAGTTTCTATTTCTGTCTTGCAAAATTCTGCTTGCCATCATTAGGTATTTCTTCATTAATCATAATGAATAATGAGTAGATGAAGGCCTTTACCTGGGCCAGGAAATTCTTAAGGTATTTTGAGAAACTATGTTTCCTGCCTTTGTATTTTCCCTTTTCTATCGTTATTCCCTATCTAGGCCTAGGATGGATGCCTGGAATGTAGGTCCAGCTGTAAATGATTGGAATTTGCAACATCTTCAGAGCAGGAATCTTCCCTGACTGTGTCAGGAGATGACAGAACATCAATTCAGGGAAGATTCTTGAGCTTGGTGGAGAGCAGATGTTAGGCATCTTAACTTTTTCTGGTAATTTATTATATTGTCATCTTTTCAGCTGCAATCAGCAGATGGTTTAACAGTTTGGAGTGGTAGCCAAACTGAAAAGAATTGAGTAGTGCCACTGAGTGCATTAGACAGACAAGACCTGATTAGGGCATTATCTTCTCATTCGAAATATGAAAATTGAATCCCACACTTGGCCATTTGGACATGTCTCATTTGATGTATAACAACAGTCCAGTCTAAACTATAGCAGTCACCTATATATTCCATATATGAAATAAATTTAAGCTAAGCTAGTTACTAGTAACAGCTGTGAAAGCACAGGCTCTGAAACTCATCTGCTGCAGACAAATCTCTAATCTCCTTGGCTCAGATTTATTAAATTTATGTGTGTGGGATTTCCTGTTTAGTCCGTGAAGAGAAATAATCATTTTAGAGGGCAATTCAGACTTCAGGTAGACTAAAATGGAGGTAGAAATGTTTTTCCATTGACTATAGAGGCATCCTAAGCCAACTGTAGATACTCTCTGTAAAGGAGGATAACAGCTTTGTTACAGCAATATCATGAAGATGAATAGAATACATATGGCTTAGAATAATGACAGCAATTATCTACCTCAGATAAAATTTCTTGTTTTCTCTTCTACTTGCCTGCTAATACTGTACCAGTATACACCTGCTCTGTAAAGGCAAAGTACCCCCTTTCTATTTCAACAGTTTAAGGTGTTGCTACAAACCCAAGACCAGAAGGGACATCCTGTGTCAACTAGCCAGTAAGGGTACACCCAAAGAGTGATCTCATTCATGTCCTGTAGCCCAGTGATACCACTAGTAGGACACAGACTTTGTGCTGAGCCTGCACATCCTCAGCCCCAGGCATGTCAGTCTTGCCTACACTTGTATTGCCCAACTTGGAGCTTCATTTTAGCTGCTTTAGCTGCAGCAGCAATTTTCTTAATGGCCAGGTGGCTATTGCCTAATATGTTTTGCTTGTCTTTGCATAATGATCTGGTTTATGTGCACTTTTTTTACAGACAGCAGTAACTCACTCTGCACAGGATGAAATATTTATGATCTCAAGGTAACAACAGAGTGCAGAGGAACACAGATCTGGTATCAAAATGGAGAATTCTGGCGAGGCTACACAAGGTACAGTGCAGAGGTGTGGAGGCATGAACAGATATTAAGACAGGGCACAGCCTGACACTCAAGACCCCAGGGCTAGAAGAATTCACTTACAGCTGCCTAACAAAATGCAAATCTGTGGTTTTAGGGTAAGACAGAAAAAGTACCAAGATATGTAAGATATCACATACATATTGAATGGGTGGTGTTGCAATCCAAGGGAAAATGAGCAAGATGCTAGAAAATATTAAAAACAAAACAAAACAAAAACAAAACAAAAAAAAAAAAAACTCCAAACCATTAAAACAGCCAGAAGAAGAACCCAGAATGAGGATTAGGAAACCATCAACATCATGCTCATAAAGGCAAAAAGGAAGAAGAAACCCCCATTATCAAGGTACCCCTCCCAATGATGCCCTTGGCATCTGACTACTTGGCCTCACCATTTCTCAGCTCCAAAAATTAAAACTCCTTGAGTAAGGATGAGCAAAACATCTTGGAAAGAAACAGACACTCAGAAATGTCTATATCCATCTCAAATGTGTTATTGAAGATTTCCTCCCTCATAACAGTGTTCCTTCTTTTCTCTTAATAAGTAGATCTGGATTAATAATAATAATAATAACAATAACAATCTTTGATGAGACCATTAAGATTTCAATTATACTAACAAAAAATCTTTGCCTCTTACACAGGGAGCACATTTCACTTGCCTGTAAGAAGATTTTGAATCTGAAAATGTTCAATATTAAAGCCAGCCTGATGCCTTCATTCCTCTTCCAAGACAGCCAGACCAGAAACTCATAGCTCTGACCAAGTAAAGAAAAAAAGCAAAAACCCTACTAATTTTTTTTTAGCATGAATGTGACCAGTTTCTATCCATTACTACCTTTTATTTACTCTTCCCATAGGTACTTGCACAGTGATCACACTCCTGTTAGGCACTGCAGAACCTAATCAAGACAAAATATTTCTAGACTCAACTTGTAGGAGTCATGGCCTCTGACATATTTTTTTTTTTTTTTCACAGAGGAAACCCCAGCACAGAAACAGAGCTTATTCAGGAAGTTTACAGTAAGACCTGATGTGACATTTAAGAAGAAAAGCACAGCCATGACAATTTTATGCTGATTTCAAACATTTGGGTTTGCTGCAGTAGTTGTTGAGTAGTAACAAAGCAAATTGCAAATACCATAACAATCATGATAATATGTTAATAGTTTTAATTGAAGTAATTTCTGCAGACAATAAGAATTATACCCTAATGTGTTAATTAATATGATTAGGACATGTTGTGAAAATGAGTATGTAAAATGATATCACATGGTATCTAGAAAGGCATATACAGGGGCTGGCTTCTCCGAGCTCTCCTCAAGGTGAGATTTATGGGCATTAACACACAAGGCTTTAGCAAGGTAAACAGCTGTTTCGATTTTAGCTATAATGAACATTAACTCCACATCCCCATTTCTGCTTAATTAAACCTCTGTCTGTGCTACTGATCAAGAGCAAACAGCAAAGGTAACAGGCACTAATTGGGCCCTGTGCAATTTCAGCCTCAGCTTGGAGCCCAAGTGGTCTGTCTGAACCAAAAAACTCCTGCAAAATATAAAAGTTTCTTTGCTGCTTCTCTCTCCAGCATTCCCAACAATTTATTCACTCAAAGCCAAATAATGTGTATGCATAACAAAAAAAAAAAAAATAAATTAAAAAGGATCATATGAATGCACTGCAAAATATACGATGTGAAATAATAAATTAAATGCCTTTTTACTGCTGTGCAGGTTGTCATTTCCTTATATTCTATATTTCTTATAGAATGTCAAGTAATAAAAAAAACCCTGAAGCCCTAAGGAATTCAAAAAAAGACTCTCAGGAAACCTCCAGCTGGACATCTGACAGCCAGCTCCTGGGCATTTTTATTAATCTTCACCCTCTCCAAGAGAGGATCACCACTGTGTCAGCACAGAGTTAACCACAGAACCATGGAAGAGACAGAGAAGGAGGCAGCAAGCAACCTGCTCTTTAAAAGCACATAAAAACCCCATGAGATGCATCTACTAAAAGAGAAACCCTGGCGCTGTGTCCCAAATGTGTTTTGAAGAGCCCACAGCCTCCCTGTACAAAATGTCCCCCCATCCTCCTTGCGACACGCATCAATCAGCTCCAAAGCAGCTCCATCTGAGAGAAACTGGACATGACGGAGCACAGACTGCTCCTACCACACTTACTGAGGGAAAAAATAAAAATAGAAGGACTTATGCGCCAGAGGACACCAGATAATTTTACATTATTCTGTTAATGAATCTTTAAGACAAGATAGAATAAGAAAATGGTTAAAATACCTCACAGCCCCTCAGATGTGGAAGTGACAGCTGCAGCCTTTCTTCAAGTGCCTCACTTCACGAGCATGCTCCTCAAGGTTTCTCTCCGACCTACAACCTTTATCTGAGCTTCCTTTGTGGCTTTGCAATACAAGAACTGTCGCTCAGTCGTTACGCTGAAACCGCTCGCTCCCTGGTTAACTTATTTTTCCCCTCACCGCTGAAAGCTGCAAGTTCACAAATGTAGTAGACAAAAGCTAAGGAAAACACCCTGTGGCTCTCTACAAACACACAATAACCTTTAATACAAAAATGCATTTTAACTTGCGGCGCACTAATAGGCAGTTGGGATTTACATGCACAACGAGGTTCATCTTCAAAAAGCACCATTTTGTAGCTCTCTGAAGGAAGTGGCAAATACTGTGCACTCTCTCGCCCCTTCATGGGAGGCTGGCTACCAATGCCCTGAACTGAGAGCAGACCTTAAGCATAAATCACTTAATTGCTCGTTTTATTTGATATCCAAGTACCTCATGCTAATAAAGTTAAGCATTAAAGAATTACAATGTGACAAACTATACGCCCATCTCATAAAAAAAATATTACCGAAACAGAGCCAGGTCTGAAAGGCTCTCAACAATGCATGGTGTAGGGCTAATTTTAGATGATTCCTCAATCACTGGACAGTTGCAGTGTACACAGCCAAGCCAGCTCAATCAACTGGCTTCTATCTCCATGACTCCAGGTCACATTATCTCATGAATGAACTGTTATGTAGGTCAGTCAAGAGTCATCTAATTGGATGCATGTTTCAGCCTTGGCATTTATGCTCTAGATATCAAAGCTGTAGACAACTGGGTAAGTCAAAAGAAAATACGAAGGAAGGGGCTGTGATAATTAGGCTTTGTTTCAGACAACAGGCATGAGAACAGATGCTGGCAGAAACTTGTATTTAGCCATTTTCATTCTAAGTGGACATAATGCAGGTGGAAAGTGCAGGAGCAACAGGTTCAGTAGCCAGGAGTTTTGCTGGGTCACAGGTTGGAATTTAGTCACAAATTAAGCTCTGTCCCTCAGCTTGGCTGGGAGGTACATTGGTCTCTGCTGAGGCATGTGTCAAATACGTGTCTGCTTACTTGCAGTAACTGATACCACCGAGTTGCCCTGCAGAGGCCCTGAGTGGTCATCAGGAAGGAATATTTTTGGTTCTTCCCAAATCAAGGTGGATTCTAGACAACAACAGAACTGAAAGTTTCCATTCTCCATCGCCAATCTGAGTCATGCTTGTACTTAAATGTTTTAAAGAGCAAGGTCTTTGGGTAGACTTTCCCAGCATGGCTCATGAACTGTTTATTTAGCTTTGCAAGCAGAAAGCTGGCATAAAATACACTAGAGTAGTAATCCTGGTAATATTTGCGTAAAATGAAGAATATCAGACTGGAAATGCATGATGAAACTAAAGTGAAAGAGTTCTTGCTTTACAGAAATGCTTTGACAGACATTTCTTTTCACTTCCTCTTCAATCCAAGCTATTCTAATTTAGATGCAAAAACAAAATTGCAACTGATTAAAATTGGGTTGGCGGTAGTTCCCGTATGAGGAAACACACAGCTCACAATCAGATAAAAGCCAAGCTGTCTAAATGCAGCCCTGCCTGTACTTTATAGCAGTGACCCAGCAGCTATTTACTAGTTATTTGTGTATTTTCATTTTTCAGAAACAGCTCACAAAGGATTTTCTCCTCCTTTGTGCTCCCCCAACTTTAAAAATCATTTCTAGAGTACAAAGGGTTAAAACTACCAAAGTGAAAGCAAAATGCCCAAGGCCAAGTTTTCCTGCAGCCTGTGTACTTGGTTGCATTTTCATCTCCTGTGTCCTGACAGCTGTTATCTTCAAGTGTGCTTCGACATGCCCACTGCTGTTCCAGCAGTCTTTTTGTTTACCTCAGAGCTTGCTTTTAAGAGCTTTAAAACCTTGATGCATGTAGGTTGTAGAAGGAGGAGGCAAGAAATAACACTTATTATATGGGAGATATCTTTTGCTGTCTTATGCCCCCACTTGTTCAAAACAGGGATTTTTAAAGAGATTCCAAAGTATCTTAAAAGAAAAATAGTAAAGTAACCCCCCATGTAGCCCTTTGGAACCTCATCCCTGTCTCCAAAAAAGCCTTTGCTCCAATGTTCTTATGTCCCAGCAACAACTGCTTTGCACTCACACAGTGTGACTCCTAGGAGGATGTGAAAGGAGGTACAAACATCTGTTAATTAAGTCTCAATTTGCTCATGAGATGACTAATACACAAATTTTACAAATGGGTATGTTGAAAAAACCAGCAGCGAATAAAGCTGGCCAACTTGAGTACAAGATAGAAGGAGGGAGACCAAGTTTCCTTTTTCTGGCTACTATTCTTGCAAATAAAATAAAAATAAAATAAAGGCTATACAAGTGCAGCTGAGATGTTGTTGACTTCTACTTTGCAAAAGACAAAGTCAGAATAATTTTCCAGAAAACAAACACAGATATCCATACAAACAAAAACCCCCACAAACTAGTTATTCATGAATAAAATTGCATCAGGTCCAATTTGTAAGACAGAGTATTAATGTATTTTTAATGGCTGAACCAAGGGAAGGTCATTATACAAAGTTTTAATTCTAGTACATTAGTGCTGCATTTATACATTAGCAGTTAGTGTGATAATGTCAAATTCTCCACTTGTTGTAACATCATAAAAAATACAGGATATTTTATATTCTTTTGGACAAAAAAATAATCAGATATTATTAAGCTTTCCTTCTTCAGTCATTGGGAGATTGTTTATGCTGCTGTATCAATTTTACATGCAAGATGAAAACTATAATGGAAGGACGACAGATGTGAAAAATGTAAATCTTTGATAAATTGCACAATCAACAAAGGCAGAGAGGGTTTTGCTGCTGTTTTTCAGTTGTGGTTGCTGTTGGAGTTTTTTTTGTTTTTTTTTTTTTTTGCAAATGAAATCATTTTAATGCTCCTTGACCTGTCAATGCCATTTTTAATGGAATGCAGGAAATAAATTAATAGCAGTGAAAGAAACAAAAGTGAATGTGAAAGTCAGTGTCAGGAAACAGCCTCCTCAGAAGAGATGTTTTCTGGATTCTTGAAAAGCCACATGCAAAGTTCTGACACTCAGCACTGTTACAACAGGCTGATACTGCTCAAGGCTAATTTTGGGTAGTCCAGGATCAAAATTCAATGTGTTAAGGCCAGTATGCAGACACTGTGTATATCCGCCAAAGGCAAAGTAACCTCCCAGGATTAGCATTTACAGCACAGACTATACGCCTGAAGACCACACGTAGATCTTCCTATACGTAGTTTCTAAATAAAGATGGCTGTGTATTATATTACAAAATTTTAGCTTCCCCCCTCCAGCCTGTCTTCCTCATTCACTTTCTATAGATTATCATTTGGCAACATGAAAATTTCCTGAAGGTAATTACCTGGCTGCAATTCAAGGTATTAATAAAAATCGCAGTTTCCTTTGGCAAGTGGCTGTGCTTGGGAGGGGTGAAGGCACAAACACCAGGCAGGTGAACCTGTGCAGGCTCTGCCATGGCCCTTGCTCTGCTTTTGACTTGCCTCTGGCTTCCTTTTGCCCACCTGGGGGTTGGTGGGGCTCTGTGATTCTCAGGAGGTACCTGCTGCCTCTTGGATTGATTTTTTTGCCCCCAGAGCTCTGGCAGATGATCTGCTGTGTGGATGATGCCAGGCTCTGCACAGCTCGGCTGTTGGGAAGCCCTGGGGCGTGGTTGGGGCTCATCACCTCTGCAGGCACATGGCTGCAATTTTGCTAAACCACATCCTAATGAAAAAAGGGAAACTAGGTCACAGTCTTTGCTTTTGCTAGTAAGCAGGTGGGGGTTTTGTTCTTTTCCTGACATTTTGTCTTTCCTGCAACTCTGTCACCTTTTCTCAGGGGTTGGCCTGACTCACCATTGCAAACCATCCCACCTGAAGGCAGGTGTAGCTTTGCTGTAGTCAGATTAAGAATATTAGAGAATTTTGAGCACTGTGCTCAGGGCAGCATGGAGCTGATTAGAGCAGAAATCCTTAAACGTTTCTGAGTCATTGGTGGCAAAGATGCCACCAAAAATTGGACCAAAGCAATGTTGGATCACATCTGGGTTTCTTCATCTTCAGATGGCTGCATCTGTGGCCCTGACTACCACTGATACCTATCTTTATTATTTTATTCTATTATGAAATGGCTTTTTCCCCCAACCCCCCTAAAAGCTATTAATGGAAACCACATAAGTTTTGATTAGTTTACATTATCTTTCCCATGATTTTCCTGACCCATTTCTTTATCCACACTGTTAAAAAACTGCCATACCTTCAGTACACTAACTCTTTATAGTTGCTTTACCTTTCAAATACTTTCTTTTCTCACACTTTATTTTTTTTTGTTTGTTTGTTTTGGAAGCAGGTGCTTATAGACTTACAGGCACAGTAACATTGCATCAATGTTTTGAGAACTGTTTGACTCTCTGGTCACTTTAAATGCATAGGTGAATGGAATATTTCAAAGATTTCTTCCTTTTTAACAGATATCCAGAGCTATCATCCCTTCTTGTAGGCATTGAACTCATTCCACTATCACTCTGAAAGAGATTACACTAATTCTCTTGTCTGAAAAAGTATGTAGGCTTATGCAAAATAAAGTAAAATTTATCAGTAAAGAAGCAGCTGACATCTTCATGGTGCCCACTATTAAAAAAGCATGCAAATGGACAGCATATAATAAAAGACCTTCTTTTGGGACAATTTATGCAATTATGAATATGTAAGTTGTATTTTCATGTTCTGGTTTGACCTCTGTTTACTGAAATATTGACAAGGACACATATTCTGACTGCAAGTCATGTTTTCGATGCATCCAAAAATACTCAGTACAAATCAAAATCTAAACTGGAAGGACACAACCAATTATATTGCATGGGAGCCTTGGGTTTCCCTTCTAAAAATGGGCAAAGTAAGTTTTCAATCTGTTGGCTTCAAAGAAAAAAAATTAAAACATGAAATAAAGTTTCTAAGACAAAGAAATATATGTAGTTAGACTTTTAAGTTCCTTTGTGTCACAGAAATCTGGTATTTCTCCATCAATTTAAAGACTTCTAAAGGCATGATATTATTTCCAATCACCTGAACTTAGCAGCATCTTCCCATTTTGCAAATTGTTTTAGCTTTCTCTAAGCTCTTTGATTGTTTTAATTTGCAGGGACACATGAATGGAAGCCTTATTTTCTAAACACACTGCAAGCTCCATCCAACACAAAGATCAGTGCTAAGAGCTGTTTTATGTCAAAGTCTGACAAGGAAGGTGTCCTGGTGGGACTGACTATGGAAGAATTGTGCCTATTTTAGTTTATTTAGCTTTTAAACACAGAGGTTCACAGAAATGCAAAATTGCCCCCTGCATCCCCCCAGAAGGCAGCCTGAAGTGGCTGCAGCTGGGCTCCCAAGGCACTTGCAGGCAGATCAGGAACACATGCAGACAACAGTATGTGCTACAGAATGGTGCACCTCACAGCTCCTATCTCCAGTGCTCCAGCAGTGAGGTAACAAAGGTGATTAATATCATGGAAAGAAATCAGAAAGCAGGAGACTAAAAGGGAATAGAATGGAATAAAATAAATAAAAAAACCTCCAACCACATTTATCTCTCTAAGTTCCATCAAAACCCAACCTGCACAAACTCTCTCCTGGCTGCTTTTGCTGTGAAAGTTTTACGCCAGAGCTGTTTGTTGCACTGGGGAAAATGCAGCTGGAGGAGAGATAAGAAAGGCATGAAAATGGAAGGCCTTATGACAACCAAGCTTGGCTTTGTATAAGGATCACGTTACACTGGATAAATCAAGTGTAATGGTATGTGATTGGGGCAGGTAAAGACAGGAGCACTAAGGAGTACAGCTGTGGTTTAATGCTTTCCTCCCTCGGCACGCTGGCAGCGGGGTTTCCTTATCAGCCCAGGCTCGCTGACTATCACAAACCTGAGCCAACCAGGAAAAATTTCCATTACAGAATACTTATAGGGCAAAAGGTTAACTAATACTGAGAAGGGGGGCTGAACTTGCTGCAGAACGCAGTCAGGTAAAGAGATCTGGAAAAGTTGAAAAGGCTGAATTTTGGTACAGAGCAAATGCTAGGAACAAGTTTATAAAAAAAAAATTAATCATTTGGGCTTAAAACTCAAACTGAAAGCAGGAGGTCACATGAAAACATCTAGGAAAAAACCAGAATTTCTAGTGAAAAATGAGATTATTGAATATCCAACTTTGGCCAGCAGAACTAGGTTTTAAAAGGGCCTGAGTCTGAGCACTAGTTACTTCCTGTATGAAGATTAAAAAAAAAAAAGTATATTTTAAACATGGTATTTTTAAGCCCTGAATTATTTTGGGAAGGGCAGAGATAATAATGGTGATTGTAGAGAATTATATTGGTAATTCTTCCCCATAACTAACAACTTAGATATAAGACACAATGATCAACTAACATAAAAGGAAAAATTTCATATAACCTTACAGAACTAGGATACTTGGGATTGGAAACCTTTTGGAAATTGATAAATTGATTTTTAAAGTTATTTTAAGCTTTTAAAAGCAGAACTTGAACACAAGTCCAAGTGCACTGGAGGCTATAAAATTTTCCAGTTTTTAGCCCAAGACTTTTGACAAGTTAATAAAGAAGGAGAAAATATCACATTTCTTTTTTTCATTAAGGTGTTTATGCACTTGAAATAAACACACAGAACATATCAAACTTCCTTTTCACTTGAGTGCCTCAATGGTTTTTTTTTTTTAAGCCTATGATCTTGCAGCGAAATTAGTAAGCAGAAACTCATCATTAGATTTACCAAAAGATAAGTTTTAACTGATAAGACACAGATGGGAAGCATTATGTTCATACTGTAGTTTGAATCTAAATGTTAAAAACAGGAAACCAACTGAAAATTCAGTTTGGTCATGTTTTTAACGCCTTCTTGCTAAGCTTAATAGTTTTGCATTGTGCAATAGGAATTACTGGGCAACAACTGCTGCACCTCTGCCTGAATTCTGACAGATGGAGCAAAGTTCCAACAGCAGTATTGAAATTTCTGAATTTTCAAATACTTTAACATTGTCTCAAAGCTACTATAGAAAACTGAGAATTAGATTCATGTGTGAGTGAAAAAATCATAGAATTGTAATTGGAGATAGCTGCACTCGTAGGTATCACATAGAATTTATGTGAAAATAAAATACTTCTGTAAAGTTGGGGAAAGATAAGCTATTTACAAGCTATTAGATGCCTGAGGTTTTGACACAACATTTGTCATTTTGCAGGGGTTCTGCGAGGCCTTCCCACCCCACCAGCACAATAACATTCCCTTGTCCTTTTCACCCAGCTCTGCAGACCTTAAAGCTCAGAAGGAGCACAGATACCAAGGAACACACGTGCTCATGGCTGCAAGCACCTGTGGCATGGTGCATTCTGTCTTCATGCTGGAACAGAGCATCACATGTGAAAGTGAAGAACACAGCAGCACAAGACTCCTGTGAGTCACCACCACAACAGCACTGTCCTTTCTTCTCCCCTAAAACATTTGGATTATAGGAAAAAAGCAGCTCCCAGTGTATTGCACCCCACAGACCTGCTCTGTAAGCTGATCCAACATACTTTGAATAAGGTTTTATGAAGGAAAATGACCATGAGCTGAAACCTAAATCTTCCTGGAAGCATGCACCAGGTCTTCACTTCGTCTGCCAAGAAGTCAGGAAGGTTTGGTAAGATGGGATAATGCAGGTGTTTTCTAGCTCTTGATATTTTCCTGTTCCTTCAGCAGGATTTTGAAAAAGACAGTGCCTTTTGCTAGCTGCAAGAGCAAGAAAGTCTCTGGACAATTCTTTAGGAAAGAGAAGGTTTGCCATTCACCAAAGACTCAGCAAGAGGAAGGCTGCCACTCCCAGCCACATTGCTGCCTCTCCCTGGACTCTGACCACCCTGCATAATGCTCACCCTGCATAGAAGAGTAGAAAACTTCCATTTCTCCCATTGTACCATCTGCTTTTCCAAAAATCATGAAGGGGAAAAAAAACAACCTGAAAGGGCAGAGATGAAAAATGAAAAGCAGCTGAAAGTATTTATTTCAAAACTTGAGTATTTAAAGCATCACTCATTTTGTCCCCTCCAGTTAATGAAGGGACAGGCAAGGTGAGATGCCTCTGCCAAAAGATGGAAACCTGGCAGGTCCCCTGGACTGTCCTTTTACCCACAGGGCCAGAGACAGCAGAGAAAACCCTGAGTTCAGGGCCTGATCCAGCAGCTAATATTGCCTCATCTTAGCAAAAACACCCAACAACTGATGGACATGAACTTTTTTCTGACATGCATCCCTCCCACAAACCAACCAGACACCCACTATTGCCTCCAGTTATCTTCTCTGAGCAGCAAGCTTTTGCACAGGTCCAGTCTAATGCCTCACAAAGCAACAATTTTTAACACAAGAGCAAAGCTCTTCACCAAATCTCATCATTCTTAAGACTATTTCCTCCTACAACCTACCCAACTCATACACCCGCACGTGGCTACAATTTAAATGCTACTGCAAAGTTTGGCTGCCTCCACAGATTACCTACGACACTCGTGGTAGTTGGTAAATAAGAATGGGCTGCACATGGCCCAACAACAAATCCAGAGATCATGAGGAAGAACAGCAGGTGCAATGTGGAAAGCAGAAAAAAAAAAAAAAGTAGCAAGTTTTATATTGAGGTTAAAATTTAAAATGTCTACTTCAGAGAGGCTGCATTAGGTTTATGCAGCAAAGCAAGCACCTGATGTTAGTACACTGGCTTTTCAAGAACTATATGTAAAATTAAATTATGTGATTCAGTTTTAACTGGGAAAAAAAAACCAAAAAAAACCAACAAAGCCAAAACACCAAGCACAGAGCCACAAAGGGACACAGTCAACAAGCAAATAAAATATGCCTTGATGAGGTCAACACAGAATATAAAACAAAGCCACCACCCCAAAGAGGCCTGAGGAACTCTTATCTCAGTGGTCCCAGACAGCAGCATCTGTCCCTGTCAGGAGCTATCAGGAAATCTGAATCACCCTGGTCCCTACCTAGTGGCAGCAGAGCAGACACATGCATGGCATGGCAGACAAGAATTCAAGAAATCATGCTCTATACCACTCACAGCCAGCCTTTCAAAAAATCCCACTCCTTCCCCATAGGAAACCAGAAGTATGACACTCACTTCTCTAATTTTTTTGTCCAATAGTGAAGTTTAGCACTTCTGAGAAACACCCAGAATAATGTTGCTTCAGAAAGTGGAGGTAAATAACAAGCAGTATCTTCCAGCCCACAGGGTAATAAGTTACACCCAGAATCCTATTTAGCACTTTACATAATTCACAGTTTCTCTGGTTACATACTTTGTCAAATATGACATCCAGCTGGGAAAGTTGGTCCACTTTATTGTCATATGGCAGTTGCTTACTTTATATCATCCAAATATCAATTAAAAAGAAAAAACAGAACTGTAAGGCAGCTATCTTCATATTTTCATGTCACACTTGCATACATGCACACAAATACTTGCTGTCATTCAAAGAGGAAAAATAACCCTGCCTGAAATGTAAACCAACTTTACACTGTTAGGCAGCAAGTGTAATTTCCAAAAACCTTGAAAATGAGAACAATGAACAGACATACTTAAATTCTGCATCATCTATTTTAATGGTGCAGTTTTTCAGATAACAGAAATTAAATCATAATATGCTGTCAAATAACAGATCTAGCTTCCAGAAGTCAACATGCCAGCATTTTAGAAACACAGCATATGGATATAAAGTTTTTGTGGATACATACGCACTTAGCAAATATTAGAAAAATCACTCAGAATAAAAATGAAAACTTGCTGAAATGAGTAGATGCCTTGTGTTATTAATTTCTAATTCTAATTGCTTGATTTAATTCATCAGCATTTATATATGCACCAGTACACTACTGAGGCAGTTAAAATTAAACAAATCCCATTCTTTTCCCCAGAAAAGTAATGGATTCTAACAGTTGTTTTATTGCAATGAGAGATATTACTCCTAACTCCAGGTTATAATCTAAGTGGATCCATTGATCACTTGCAAAAGGCAACAAAAAGAAAGTTTTGCTTGATGCTGATGGCAAGTAAAATGCTGACCAGATTGTCCATTAGTGCCAGTGGAAATCCATCCAGTATCCAAGCACTACACAAATATTTTGCCACTGGCTAAGTCAGAATCATGGAACACAAAAAGTAAAAAAATACCAGGAAAGGCCACATAATGAATGCACAACAAACCCATATTGCTTTATACGAATGTAGCAAATTCATTACAAAGGATTTTACCTCCCACAAAATAAAACAGGCATAAAAAAGAACAGAGGAAAAGATGTGTATCTGAGGAGTTACCTGAGGTTTCTATACTATTTTTCATGCCTAGCTCTCACAGCAGGTTACAAGTGTAAGCGGAATCATCTGTAACCTACAGATGGACGGAATAAGGTTAACTAGGGCAACAGAGAAAGTCAGCAACACATTCCACAGAAAAAACTGCCTCTAACATGCACTGCATTAACAAACAGCCTTTGGAAAAGTAAATTTGACACCCATGGGGGAAAAAAAAGTTTAATTAATTAGTGGGGTGTGCCACTATCCATTTAATGCACGCAGATCCCTATGGTTTAAATCTGAAGTTACATATGTGTGTTGTATACACACAGTGAGGCAGTTTAGAGGGGAAAAATGGAAATTAGATGAGGAAAAAAAATTGTGCTCCGTAACTTAAGCACTAAAATCACTACAAAAGAGTAACAGCTATGAAATATTTAAGAGTCAACATTAATATCATTAGACTTCAAAGAATATCACCTTCTCAGCGCCAGCTTCTTGCATTGATCATCTGCAGAATGAGCAGCTTCACATCAATTTGTTTGCAGAAGCTTCTTCCAAACCACATCAGCCAGAAATGAAACACTGGAATCCTCTAAAAGCCATAAAATGTCCTTGCAGAGATCGGTTCTGCACCTTCTCAAGCCCACCCCTGTATTTCTCAGGAACTTTGTAAATAATTTAATGTTTCCATGGGGAGAATAGGAACGCTCTATAAGAACAAGAAGATATTAAACGCTAACAAGGAGATAAGAGGCTTTTGAACATGAAAAGTTATATATTTGCAAAGCCTTCTTCCAGTTTTCACACAGTCTTTTCTTCATATGTAACTGCGGTGGGTAGAACAGCAGTAAACATTTAAACTGCATTGCATTATTGTGCATAATAAGAGCTTGACATTTTTATTTTCTCCAAGGAGAAGCACTGCCTATATGCTCTCTAGTGGATGAACAGGGTTTTTACAAGGTCCCTCCTTCCCCCTCCTTTAAATGTGATCATATATGAATTGAAAGGCTTTTATTCTGCCAGAATCCCAGTCCAAGGTTTTGTGTTTCTCTAGCAACAATGACACACTAACGACTGAAGCAGGGCAGAGAGCAGCTTCTCCCCCATCTCTCTACAGCATCAGGTGCCATGTGTCAGAGGAGTGGGAACACCACATAACTTTTGACCTGGACATTGTCAAGGACCAAGAGTAAATAGATTAGTATAAAACTCTTTTAAGACATGTTTTGAAGTGTATGTCTGCCATGGGTATCCACACAGGAAGTCCTTCAGAGGCAATTCCAGAACTGCACAATTTCATTCATCCAGAAATCAAATACCAAGTTACTGTGGTATGAATTCACCACGGAGTCCTTCCCATGCTCCCTGCCTTGCATCCCTTCTGTGCCTCACTTCCCCAGGGCTCAGAAGTCCCAGCTGGAAGGGAGGAGGCTGTTAACAAATTGTTTCCTAGAAAGAGTTTGTTTCTCACACCGAAAGCACGTTGGGGAGGGATGCAAGAAGGGACCCAAGTGTGACCTAAATAAAGGCCATCACAGTTTAATGAAAAACCGCTCCCTCACACAAAATAGCCAGCAGTTGGGAAGTTCATATGATGATTCACTGCTGCAAAAATAGGTATCTGGGCTTTAACCATTTCTGGGTAAACTGAAGGCTTTCAGTAAATAGAAAGCTTTAGGTTTCAGGAGCAATGGCCTTTCATCAGTCTGTTAAAACAAGCTACCCTAAAGATCGTCAGAGTTTTCCTTTTCTAGCAGAGGAATTCTGCAAGAAACCCTCTCCCCTCCCAGACAGCAGGTGCATAGGCTGCAAGAGCCCATTTTCCTTTAGATTAGCTGTATGCATCACCTCTTAAAAATTTATAAATCACTTAGCTTTCCAAGACCCAAATTCCCAATAGAGTAACTGGAATTACAGCCATGCCAGCAGTAAAAGAGGGGAGAGTTTGTTAGAGTTGGCATAATACAGTGACCAGTACTATAAATTACTTTAGGAAATGGCTGCTAATGCCCTTTCTGTGCAGGCTTGGGGGATACTATTCTCTCTGCAGTCCACTTCTGTGGAAATTAAGAAATTTAAGTCATCTGAGTGAAGAATATAGGCTTCTGCTCATCTGAAAGCATTTTTTTCCACCTAGAGGGCATAATCACCAATTACATCTAGAGAATATAAATTTAATTATTTTTATTAGCTAATATGGTTTCTATCAGCAAGGAAAGAAAATGCATTCTCAGAACTGTGATCAGAAATTAGCATGTTCACAACAAACAGCTAATGCTTGCTAGAGGAGGCACTTCTTGGGACAGGTCCTTAGAGCTGGCTGATGAAGAGGCCCTGAAGGAGGCTTTGATGAACAGTGAAAAAAACAAAACTGCAACAACAAAGAAAACCCTGAAACCCTTCTTCATTCCTTCTCATCTCACCTTTTCTTTTCTTCCTGACTCTGATTTCTGAATTTTAAAAGTCTTCAAAAATATATTTTTATATTTTGTGCATTCTGCACACTGAAAGCCATGTATCTCCCCCTTTTTGGCTTTTGAAGTCTGACATTTTTGTAGACTGCCTTACTCCGGGACTTCAATTTTGTTTTACTTTGAAAATATTCATTAAAACAGCACATTTTTTTAAATACCTCCCTTTCTTGGTTTCTACCCACATCCCTAGATCTTTCCACAAGTCATCTTGCCCCATCTCAGATGCCTGAGGCTATGTAAGTCACCCGGCTGACTCCTTCTCTAATCAGTGGACAGAAACTGCCTCTCCAAGGCCATTTTTCCATCTGCTGTACACCAGTGGCTCAGGAAGAGATGAATATCCAGCCCAGGGATGCCCTTCCTCCTTGACCAAGGGGCACAGAAGAACCCAAGATTATAGACTCAGATTTCTGAGTTGGTTGCTTGAGCCAGGGCCAGTAATTCCTGTTTTAAGCCCTAAGTGTCTATGAGCCACTGTGATACAGGGATCCATATGTAGGAAACCACCTCTGTAGCACAACCAAGCGTGGCATGGGTGAATACCTACAGCACTGTGGAGAGGTGGTGCTGCAGCTGGGCAAGATGGAGTTTTGCTGATTATCATTTTGCTAAATATCACCTGGGGCAGCAAAGAGACACCAGTGCTGGTATTCTGCAGCAGGCACAGCTCTGCTGGGGCCTGGCACTTGGGTGGTTCACTCCACAGCCATTGTGTCTTTTGTCAGCACCACCCGTGGCAGCCAGGATTAAAGCCTGCTGAAGGTGAACCTCTGAAAGCAGCATGGACACAACCCTGGGTCTATTAAGTGCCAGGAACCACCTGCTTAGCATTGCATTCTCTTGAAAGTACAACAATCCATCAGGTTTGTCTTTTCCTTGCAAGCATCTCTAGGGGAGAGGTAGAAACACAAGTGCTGCAGTGTGACCTTCCTCCAGCTCCAACTTTTTCCTCTCTCTTTACTTCTCCCTCGCTCTGCTCCAGAGAGGTGCTGCCTGACTTGAGAGCTGCAACCAAAACTGTGCTGCAGCACCTATGTGCAGAGTGAATTAGCACCTTTCCCCCCCAGAAAAAGGCTGCTAGGGGAGCTGGGGCAGTTATATAAGGCTGCAGCAGCTCAGGACAGTAGATGTCAGAGAGATGAGGCAAGAGCAGCACTGGCAAAGCTCATCAGGTCCCTCTCATGGACACCTTGCCAGGTAACCCTTTATGGTGAAGAGCACAGGCTACGCTGAGCAGTAACTCACATTTCTCATCTCTTTACAGCAAAGGCCAAATGACTTCCAGCCCTGTGTGAGGTGGTGGAGTTGGAGCTCCCTTCCCACTCCTGGCCTGTGCAGGAAGCAGCCGCTAATTGTCTAAGAGCTCTGGAGTGATGAGGGGGGGCTGACAACCCCTTCGAGGCATGTTCTGGCTCCTCCACACACCACTGAGACTGAGACTGAGGGAACCAGGCTGCACCTTGCTACAGGAGCTGTGTTACTCCTTAAGCATCCCTGAAGGCATCATTATATCCACTGTCGTTAGGGCTCTCTCTGCTCTACGGGAAGGGAAAAGGTGACTAACGACTGCCATAGGAGAACACCCGGCTAAGCTCTGCACCTTACCCACTGCACTCCCAGCCAGAGCTGGATCATTTGAAAACACCCAAACTGTCAACCCTCTATCACATATTATTTTAATTGACTGCCATTTCGGAAACATCATCCAACCTGGGAGTTTGCATCCTACTTCCAGTCTGCAAAGTCATCACAAATCCTCCCAAGCGTGTTCCATTTTCCATATTCCTTCTCGGTTTTTAGGTTTTGCATTTATATTTATTTCCAAAAACCTCTCACAAAGCTCCCCTCAAAGGGGGCTGGAATTTGCTACTCAGAAGCACGGCATGCATATTTGTATATCAATGCTGACCACATTCACAAGAGACTGCTTGTGATCACTAACACACGAGACAGGAGGATTTTCCATGTGACTTCTTTTATTTTTGGTTTGTTTTTTTTTTTTGTTTTGGTCCTGTATTGGTTTTGAGTGGTTTAATATTTTGTAGGGATTTTTTTTTTAATACAATGTAGTAATCACAAATCCTGGGAGGAGATTTACTATCTGCATTACTGTCTCTGAGGCTGCCCTTTTTTACACCTTTAAACACATCCAGAAAACCTATTCTTCACTCCCTGCCAGGATCTTTCTGCTTCACCACTCCCAACACGTTCCTTTTTCGTCACTCACTCCCCATTCCTGCTCATTTGTTTTAGTAGTTCTTCCCCAGGACTCTGCAATTCTTCAAACAGTTCCTTTTGGAGGGCAGCACCTCCTTGACTACACTAAAATCCCTCCTGAAAACACATCTGCTGGAACTGCTTGTAAGAAATTAGTCCTGAAAATTGTGTCTCTCTTTATATACACCCGTGTGCCAGTTTTCCAAGCCCAGATTCACCTACCCATGTGCACTCTAGACTTCAGCTGGGAACAGCAGATTGAGAAGGGGGGAGAAACACTTCTGGTGGATCATTCTGAACACCTAAGATTTAATGTAATAGAACTATTAATAATACATAAGAAAAGAATTATCCAGAGCTTCTTAGTCAGAAAAATCTACAGCTCAAGTCCCATCTGAATCAAAGAAAGAGGTTTTTTTTCCTGTTCACTGGGACATGAATTAATACCAAGTACATAACCTACATTTCCAGTTGAACGTGCAGCATTGCATACAGCCCTCGCTTTATATTTTAGCTCCATCTTCCAAGTATAATCGTCTTAAACTTGCACTGAAATGCACTTGTCATTTGCTGCCCATTGTGACAACCATCAAGGCTTTTTATTTTTAAAATCCTGTTCCCTGTTCTGTTGTTCTGAATCATTAACCCCATCTCCAATTTTAGTATTTACAGCCCTAAATTGGATGGATGGCTTATTTTCAGCACAGGAGCCCAGATCGCAATTGCTGGTGTCTCTCTTTCTCTTAATTTTCAGCACGATGTGCACAGGGTTGAATTCTCCAAGTGGTGGGAGGCAAAGTGCTTAATGTACAAACCGGACCACATCCTCAGCCCTGGACTCAGTGGGGCCCTACATCATTAAAATTAGGCACTTAGTTAAACGCTTTGCTGAATCAGTGCCAACAGCCCGGAGCCTAAAAGCCCTGAGCACCTTCTTTAAAAGCAGATCTCCTCCCCACTCCATTCCAGTGCAACCAAAAAGTTTCCAGCACACACGAACTTATCTTTGCTCTCTCAAACGGTGTCTAATTCAAGCTTCTAATCTTGTGGCTTTTTATCTTATTCATTGCTCCCTGAATGTGGAATTCACTATCTATTTTCAAAAGGGAAGTAAGTACAACCACTGTTTCCTAGACAACAGAAGAGCAAAATTAACTCTTCCCTCACCCCTCCCAAAACACAGACAGAAATATTAAGTTTTGCTATGAACCACAGTCAAGAGGAGCTACCTGTGAAATAGCTGAGGTTATAAAGCAGTGCATGGGGGGAAGAGAGAGTGCCACGCTGCTACCTCACCTTGCCTTTCACTCCGCAGACCTTCACAAGCAAAACACAATTAGCCTTGGCTACAGAATCTACAGACTCATCTTGACTTATGGTAATTAGAGCAGAGAAAAGAAACTCCAAAAATTTTATTCATCTAGCATGGGTAAAAATTCCTGCTTTTGCAGCAGGGCGCACAAATAGAAAATTACAGTTGATGGTCTTTGCACGACATTTCTGTACACACCAGCAGTGATCTCTGCTTTGAGGTCACCAGTGAACTCTCCAAGGCAGTGGCCTGAAGTTGTGTCAGGGGAGGTTTAGGCTGAATATGAGGAAAAGTTTCTTCACCCAGAGGGTGTTTGGGCACTGGAACATCTCCCCAGGGCAGTGGTCACAGCACTGAGCCTGACAGAGTTCAAGAAGGGTTTGGACAATGCTCTCAGACACGGGATGTGACTCTTGGGGTGTCCTGTGCAGGGACAGGAGTTGGACTCAATGTTCTCTAGGGGCCCCTTCCAACTCAGTATATTCTGTGATTCTGAGGTGCAAATCACAGAGCTGCAAAGAAACAAAGATCAAATTAAGCTGAATCTACCATGTCGCTAACTCTGTGGTGGGCATCCAGCAGCATTACTGGTCTGGCTAAACTTTTCTACCTTTACCTGGAATCCACTGATGCCTCATGCTGGGGAACCTGTACCTGCTTTTATATTATGGCCTTATGAAATTGCTGAGCTTTCTACTGCTGAGTAGTGCTGCACTACTCTGAGGCGACACTAGAAGGGAATAAGCATTTTTAGACACCAATAAAATGAAACTGTTTCAATTTGTTTTATATTGTAGTGCTTTGTGGTTAGTTTTACGAGCCTTGAGAATCCTGAAGTCTTTTCATGGTTGTGTTTTGTAGACATTTGTTTGGGCTGTGCCCATGCACAGCCTTACAGTCCAGACCAGAGTGAGCCTTGAGACAAGCCACAACCAAATAAAAGAGATTTGGGGAAATGTTTATAAGTGATGTGAAAAAAAAGATTAATTTTCTGTGTCGGGGAAAACTCTGGAGGTACCATAGAAGTCCTCTGCAGGTATGTATTGTGCAATATCACAGTCTGCAAGTCTGATCCATGATCATAGCACAGTTCATATAATTCATGGATGTTTTTGAGGTGAACATCTACAAGATAAAGAGCATTTGCAGAATGACTGGAACAGGAAACATGAGAACATTATTATAGACTTGTAAAGCTGAGAACTTGGTAATATCAGCATCTCCTCTGTTTCCCAGGACATGGTGTCTGGCGTGAAGAAGAGACATAACACATCTCTTCCTTTATTACAGACATGTTTGGGGTTTTTTGCTCCCTTCCCCTAGCCCCAGTGTACAGCACAGAAATCCATCATGCTTCCAGGCCTCTTTCCCTTAACCAGAAACATGTATGCTTGTGCAGAGTTGCATTGGTAAAAGAGGAGACAAAAAACAACAAAGGAAAAAGAAACAAATGCAAGTGTATGTTGCAAAGGAGGGAAGAAACAGGTTTCTTAATAGTTACCTGGTAGTGCTTAAATACAGGTTTGGACACAACATATTCATATAAACTGTATTAGAGCACTTGTACATATATATATTCAGGCACATTTTCCTCCTTTCCAGGCCATGCAGATCTGCAAGCTGCCCTGAATGTCAGAGACATCCAGGGAGGGCTGCAGATAAGAATTTTAGACTTAAAAGTACAACTCACAAAATGCATTATTTGGCTGTCAAACCAGGACTTGCTAAATTAATGAAGCATTTTAATTCCCAGATCAACAGAAGCAAAGTTAATTTTGTGAAAGTGTGCTAGATTCCAAACCTATTACTATTAAGACTAACTTAAACCTCATCTACATTCTTCAGGGAACAGGAGAGGAGAATAAACAGAGGTGAAATTAAGCACAAATGTGAAGTGGGGTTTTTTTTGGTTTTTTTTTTTTTGACTGCAGTAATTTTGAGGAAAGAAACTTAGAGGCCTGTTAGCACTAATTCTTAATAGATCAGTCCATTTTACTGCAGACTACCAGATGCCATTTTCTTTATGCACACTTCTTTTTTTTTCCCTTTTCACCCTACAAGGACCAGCAAATGCATTTGGTTTTGCAGAGGTTAAGCCTACATCTCCCAAATTATTATTTGAGTTGTGGAGCTATTCAGACCTTTCATGGGTCAGGGTCCCCAGAATTAGGTTTTGTATAAACACAGTACAAGGAAATGGCCTTTTCTCTAAAGATCTTGCACAGTCTCAGGTCTCAAATGAGTCTGAAATGAGAAACAAATCTACTGAATAAAAGGGAGAAATGCAGAACTGAATGCATAGCCTTCCTTTAAAGGAACAATTTTACTTTTTATTTAGGAAAGGTATGATGAATTTGATGTTCTAAGACAGAAAGTCTTGGGAAAGAGGGGCAGTGATGAGACGAGACATATGATTTCTACAGGCCAGAGAAGATTTAATTTTGAAGATTTGTCTTGCAGTGTCCTTGTGAGTCCTGAGCTCACTGGTTTTGAGACAGAGGGATGGAAAGGCTCTACTCTTTCCAGCACTGCACAGGGAATCACCTCACAATCTGGCAAGCAGGTGACTTGGTTGACATGGGGACACCAATATTCAAGTTCCTCACTCAAATCAGGCCAGTCCAGACACTGGCCCACTTGGTAGCTTGCTAGCTCACCTAGATCCATCTTTCACCTGCTTCCATCCCTGAGCAAAGACTGCTCCTTACCAAAAAGCTGGTGGACTTCTACAAAACCAGCTGACAACACAGACATTTTGCAATAATATTTTCACCACAAGGTCCCAAACCACATAAACCCTAAGTATCCATCCTCACTTTCAGCATTTGACAAAGAGCTTCTGAGACAAGCCTGCATTTGGGATGCTTTCTAGCGTGCTCTAGGGCTCAGCCCAGACAAATGGGTCAAATGGAACCAGCCAATTAACACCACATTCTTCACCTAACTTGACTCCAATCAAGATGGATTACGTAAAGACAAACCTGACACAAAAATCTGGTCTCATTTCTGTGCAAAACACGGGTGTCCCACCAGGCCCTTCAAAGGGAAAGGCCTGAGTAAATATTTGACAAATCCAAGATTTATCAGCCCCAATCAGGCATTTTGATCAATGGATGTCTCTAGGATAAGAAAAAGTGGGACCTGAAGGGACAAATGCCCTTCACGTGGCAACCATGGAAGAATTGTTATATTTTTATACTGCATTAATCCCACAAAAGAAGGTACTCACAAAGATACTTATAGGGATAGGAATCCATATCTGGGTTCCCTCTACAGACACCAGACAAAAAGCTCCTCAGTGGAATGCAGAGCAAAAACATTTGGCTCCAATAAGACATTTCAGAACTGGAGCCTCTCATTCTCCAGTGATTATGGAGGATGCCAAGAAATAAAATCCTCCTAGCAAATACCTCTAAAGGCTCCAGGCTGCATTGAAGGGACAGTTTTATATTAAGATGAGAGCACAGATTCCACTTTTCTGGGCTTCAATATCAAATTTTCTTTACCAAGACATTGACACACTTCATAAAACTGTTCAGGGCTCCTCAGAGAAAAAGCACTAAGTTAAAACTAAACCATCACTACTTCCATAGAAAATGAATATGAGATTTAACAATGTATTTCCGTGCTTGCAAAAATGGGTAGGAAGACTAAAATAATTGTCCTGATTTTCAGTGTCTAACTTTAGACACCCAAATTTGAAAATTTAGGTCATGTGACAGTCTATACTATTTATATCTCATCCTCTGGATTACTGCAACACGAAGCCACCTTTTACTGTTCCTGTGCTTGTGATTTTAAAATGAAACTGTTCAGGGCAAGAAGTTTTTCCCTGTATTAGAATGTTCTGAAAACTCCAACTCCATCAGCACTAGGAATGACAGCAACCTCAAACTTGGTGCATTTTATTTTGGAGAATTAACCATTAAGAAAGGCCTCTGTGTGCCTGGAAATGCAGCACCTTTGCCAAGTTTATCAATAGACAAGAGGCAAAATTGCTGTCAACCTGACCTGGACAATTGCAAAGGGTTCATTATTCATGCTCATTCAATTTCTGGCCATTTTGCTGAGACAAGGATGATACTCAGTGCCAATTGAGATGGTGGTTTGGACATGGACACTTTCCCACTATAAACTGGACTACATCCACTGGCTTATTTCATGCACTGAACAGCTGTTGCAAGAAAAAAAAAAAAATCCTGATCCAAACCAGTGTCCCGGAGGTAAGGGATCCTGTAAAAAGAAATGGCATTCAGATGTAATGTTCATAAAATTATGTTTCAATTTAAATGGCGGTTTGGGAATAGAGAAATACAAAGAGTCCTTTTAACTCTTTGCTTTCTAGCTTTGAAAATAGCCAAAAGCCCAAAAACCTGCTCTCTCGTGCAGTTTGCTACATGAAGCTTCAAAGGAGGGACAGACTTTCCTGAGTGTGTAATTAAGACACAAAGGTAAGGAGGAGAAACTATTAAAAACATCTCTTTTTGTTTGGGGGGTTTGAACGGTACTCTTAAAATTGCATTTATGGTGAACCGTAATATTTTAAGGGTGTGCCACTACTATGTGAACATAATCCCAACTCTTTGGTATTGATTATGTAATAAAGATATGTGACAGCTTCTTGCAAACATTTGCATTCATTATTTCCCACTATTATTCAGGTCAAGTATCTTTATCACTAAAGCTGTAGAATAAACCTTATTTATTTTGGTTCATCTGCTTGCTCCCTAGAGAGAAAACGGCACACACAATTAGAAATTTAAAAAACCTATTTTGCTTGCATTTTCTATGCATATTTAAAGAACCTTCCAAGAATACAACAGTCGGAAAATGGGAGAAATCGCATTTTCTTTGAATCATTCATGTAGTTCTATGCCTTAAATGTAAACTATTTCTTCTTTAGCTGTTCTGATTTATATAAGAGACCACCTGTCACACTGCAACAGCATCACAGTAGTTTCCAGAAGTCCAGTAATATCAGAAACACAGGAATACAACAATCCTCAGCTTGCCTATTTACCTTGACTTCAGAAAGCCGAGTACACATGATAGGAGTGGAAAACACCTGAAGTGAGAATATATTGTCATGCTGGAAAATGCCTACCCTGTTGTGTACATCCTTCTTACCACTCTGGTTTTCATACAGCTGCCTGGTCACTCACGTACAGCTGCTGTGGCAACACCTGCTCTAAAGCAATACCCAAGGTTTTCTCTTCCTCTGTGAACTTTCTGGGCTAAAGAACTCTTAAGCAGCTGAACTGCAGAAAGACTTATTTGAAAACACGTCAGTGATGTCCTTGCAGATGTCCTGGGAATCAGAAGCCATGAAGTGCCTCCTGAAGATAGGATTGGGTTTCCCACA